GATCAACCTATACAGATTTAACTTAGATACAAAATGCCTTACAATTCACCTTGGAAAAACGTAGTCTTCTAAACAGTCGTTTGGTTACTTTTATGGAGGCGTACGCCTTGTTACAGTTGTCAGCGTCGTCGACAGACAGCAAACTGTTTTGTGCAGCTCGGGTTAATGGAAAAGCAACAGAACATCAAAAATAGTAGAATTTTTTTAAGAATATCCGTCATAACCAAACTTAGCTATCGTTTCGGTTGCCACCTTTCTGGTTCAACTGGCTTGACCAGATCATTGACCTAAATACAATATGATCGTTTCATTTAAGGTTCTGTAGTTATAGTACACATTGGAAGAGTTGCCTAGCAGAAATGTCCGAGATTATGTTTGGTAGGAAATGAAGATACTTTGAGGGTTTATTTATTCCGAAAATGAATTTTTACTGATAGCTGGGATATTTGTAAAGCTGATTCATACAGCATAGGAATCATCACCATTCATCATCTCGTGGATATCTAGGAACGTTCGAATCAAAGATCTGTAAGAAAGCGGGTGAGTACTGTACCAGTCTGTCAGGTGGTGTCAGAATGGCTAGTAAATACATTTTCAAAGTGCGCTTTCATCACTGTGTAGGTTCCAACCTACAGTCATGCAGAGTACATTTACGTAGGGAATTCGCTCTCTAGTTGTCTACACGCTATTTGCTACTCACATGATCTCTGAGAACTCTTCGATCGCTCACTACCGTTTTCGTCTTTCTTGAGACTAAACAACCGTCGATGAATTCAAAGACGAGAGTTATTCTTTATTTTTCGGGTGAGAAGAAACACGAAATCTGGAAGACACTAAACGTGACAATGTATTTCGGCTAGCGTATAAGATGCCAAATACCGGTCAGATGTAGTCAGATCACATAAACTCGATACTGCCAAAGCTATGACTATCCGACCTTTCACGCACGAACTTTGTGCACAGGGGAGATTCGACTTACTTCCTCCGGCAAAAATGGACTGGGGTTCTTCCATCGTTTAAAGACACCATACACCAGTCTATATGTCAGATCGCAATGTAAACGTTAAGTGTACACGATGGCCAATGCTCATTGTCCAAAATGCAACGTCAGACCATTTGACCGAGACTTCAAAGATAAAGTGGTCTCCATGGCTCGAAAGATACGTGTGCTGTATCCCCGTTCTTTTATCCAGAGTAGAGTGCGGCTACTTTACAACTGCTGCTTATTCGAAAGGACGGTTGACAGCTTGGATTCAGTGCCGTACACAAAACGAAAGTTGACCTCGTTCTGGGCTGCGAGATGACCAAAATAGGTGAACACTGGCTAACTGAAGAGTTCATCACAAGGTTTCGTTCATTAGGCGTTTCGCAGTAAAACGTGAAATATACTCATTATTATTAACACGCAACCAAATATTTTGTTGTCGGTTGAATTGTAAAAAGAATAGAGAAATTCGCTCACGTTGCTGATTATCAGGCTCGCTTTTTGATGAGATGCATTGGATGTTCACACCTGTCGACACCGCAGTGTATCCAAGAGTTCCATCGCAAGTTTTTGAAAACGATGCATCGCCTAATGCAGATAAAAACGGTTGCGCTTCTGCTTGCAGCCAGCTGGTTGTACATGCCTGTGATATACACGGTGTAGTAAGTCCAGCTAATCAGATTTTCTGTAGGTCGTCCTCCGGAAATTCAGAGCACAGTGTTTGGAATTTGTGCAGTTGATAAAATTGCACCAAACGAGTGTACTTAGTGATAATTTACAAGTGTGACTGGATGCTTACTTGGTTGAAACTCAGACCTAACTGAGGGTTCGCTGGCCGGTCAAAGTAGATTTGATGATTCACGTGACTCACGTTGGCGTAAAGTTATGACAATAGCATTTGATGTCTCAAATATCGACTACCCTTGAAAGGTTGACCCGCACTGAATAAGTCAGACTGAACATTTTTTTGAATTGATTAGGCTGTCTAAAGCGGCCCAAAAGCCAAGGTTACATGACCAATATAGTGACCGAAAATCTTAGGCTGACCGGCTCACTAGTCTGTCGCACCTACGGACTACCTAACACTCACTTCCCAATCCATTTATTGTTACTGTCATTAGGACATGAGTGACTGGATTATCGTGATACCGTACGATGGTTGAAGGATCCCATTAGAAAACAGCTGAGCACACGGTGCCCGCTGGACACTTTCAAGCTTGTAGAAGGCACTGACTGTTTGCAAGTCAACGATGGGACTTCTTCATCATGAACGTTACATTCCTCCCAATTATTTTGCTCTTTTGGGAAACAACGATTACAGATGGTGGCTGTACTCCGTACCTCCAGGTGTGTTGGTGAAGGAATTATCCGTTTTCACCGGTGTCATTTTGAAAAAACATGGACGGTAGTTTGGATCGTGTAGCGCTTGTAACTCGCTATCTTTCATGCCCAGTATCACCTTCCTTTTCCCTATCATATCAGTGGCCATCACTGTACAAAAGTTTGTTTTACTGAAATACAACCGCAAACGCCCGCTTTTTGGGTCCAACGTGACTTTGCGATTTCTGCTAAGTGACTGTTGTTGTGACTGCCGGTTGGCTGCTACTAACTCTAAGCGTGAACAAACATTTTTGCTAAAAACGCTGGACTAATTTATTCACACATGTGAATTAATATTGCGATCACCGGAGATTTGAAATACCTGGAAGGTAGAACTTTCTCCTTGGTGTGGTGGTTCAACGAAATACGGAACTACGGAGTCCCCTATTGTGAACTGTGAGTCAGGATTTGCTTGGATTTGTCTCCTTGTGACTTCGTATCTGGCTTAAGTTATTAATGTGTTCTGTTCACTAGAGACTCCTTAGGGCCGTTAACCACTACAGCCGTTTGGGCATGGTCAACATCTAATAAGAGCAAAACTTGGGGCGTTCACTAAAGCGATTTGGTGTGTATTCAATGGAACAATCAACTCCAGAGTAGTGGACAACTTTTTCAAAAATGTGTGATGCAGAATCAACTTCTACAAGCACCTCAGATGCTCACGCATACTTACCTTTGTACCCATAGACCAACGAAGTAATGGTGTGTCGATAGGCTCTCTTCTCGAACTTGTTCTTTTTTGCCGAAAATCATGTATAAGTTTGAACATTTCATTTTGAAACACGTGAATCCATTTTAACAACCTTTTTCTACGATCGTTACATCTCTGACTCGTTCGACTCAACCGACTTGGCCCCCTAAAGAAGCATGTTGTGCTTGGTTTCGAGGGTCGGCTAACTGACAGCTTTCATCTTGTTGACGCCACGTTAATGGGACGTATTGCTGTGTCTGAGTATCCATTGTTAATATATCTCTTTGTTTGCGAGTGTCCTGCAATTTGTGCGGAAGATACAGTGTCACGGAACGCGTGAAGTTTTATACCCATGCATTAGGACCGAAGAAGCCAAACGCGTGACTAATCCAGCTACAAACGGTCAGATCGGTATGAATCTTTAATTTAGCCCAGTGGTTCACCCATGTCTTTCACAACGAAGCATTTGAAGTACGGAGACAATGGTAGTCAAACCTATCGAGAAAGAGATTGGGAATGTCGTCAGCATGAATGAATAAGTCTCAGAGGAAAATGCATTCATCAAGAGCTAGATGTGGTTGTTCGCGATTGAGCCGTAAACCGTGGTGATTATTTGATTGTGTATTTTGCCGGAAAACATTTAGGTGAAAAGAAAAAGACTTTCCCTCGTTTTACCATCAGATTCACTTATAATGAGAAAGACTGTAGACTTAAATGGCAACCCATTACATCTACTAACCATTTAGATAAATCGTTCCTTGTCTTCCGTGCTACACCAAGAGAGCAGCGGTTCAAAGAAATCAAACATTCTCAAGTACCCTTGGAAACTTGTGCGTTATTACTCATATCTATGTTCGGACAATATCCAGAGAGGCAGTCTATTCTGATCAGACGGTTAATAACGCTTCAATTTTCGAATTGAATGGGTGCTTAAAAACTAAATTGTCAACCGTTTAAAACGAATCACAATATCCGCCGGAAACGTTGGACAAAATGGTATTTTCCCCAAATCACATTTTGCCGAAAAACCTGTGGATAGAGTCATAAGCTGCTTGCTCTCGGTTATAAAGGAACATTTAGTCGATGGCACCTCCGGGACGGTCATATCCAATCTTTAAGTATGGCTTGTGGAATGCCGAATTTAATAACTCACCGTTACCGGTGAGTTATTAACTCCCTTCCAGGGAGTTTGAATTATTTATATATAATTATATTCCTACTGCGAGAGGAACAGTCAGATGGAAAGGCAGTTTGTCCCATTTATGAGAAATTTGGTTGGTGAAAAAATTCTTCCAGTGCTACAAGGTAAGTGATGGCTCTCAAAGTTAACTTCCCTTAAAATCTGGGGTTCCAATCAACTAAGGGGGTTTGTCACCTGGAAGAATCAATGTTATTAGCTCAAAAGTGGCTGACGGAAAACCGAACCAGAAAACCACTAAATGAATAGCATTGTATGTGTACGGTAAGAGGAGAAATGCTGTTGTGCAACTCTGCAGGGACCTGGTAGAACAAACCTCGACAGAAAGCTTGAAGAAGGCATTGCAAATCCCACTAGACAAATGATGAGGTGTCCCTGTATTTAGCGATGACAGTACTGAACAGTGTGTTAAACGTCAAAATAATCCCTGATATTTTTTGTCTCTTGGCTTTGATGTCAAGCAGGAGTGAAAGAGTTGGACCCTGTTCCAGCAGTCGGTATTTCTGGAAGCCTCGAAATCATATCCATATGCGGACCGCCATATGGATGTAATAACTCCGTTGGTTAACCAGGACATTAGTGCTCTAAAGCAGGGTCTACACAGAAATGATTGGTTCGAACTATTCCCATTGATGGTGACCATTGAACCTAACTTGACCTCATGATATTCCCCTCATTCATTTGCTTACTCCGCCTATGTACTTTTGATCTCCAATTGTTTTGCTCATCTGTATGCGCCACTCACTTTGCTTTAAAGGCCGCCCCGTCCGACAATTGTGAATTAGCGCCTGTCTGTGAGCAGCTGACCCAATTACCCTTTCGCGTTCGTGCCCGCTTGCTGAGCGTGCTTTGACTTGTTTCCTCATGAGTTCCGTGTAAACGCACCGCCAATAAGAATCAGGAGACTGTCGTCGGAAGAGACGACCGCAATCCAAGCTACAGAGCCAACATTCCTCTCGCCGTTGTTTTGTGTGCGGACGTTGACACTGCACTGTGCCAGTCAGACGTGTGCACTCGTTGACGCTACGAACGTGGGCAATCGCAGTTTGTCGTATGAATCTGCTTACAGTTTTGTAAATAGTACCTCAGAATTTGGAACCCGATTCTCCCCTTTGATATTTAAGAATGTCGAACCTACGCGTCACTCAAAGTTCTGTATCGGGAACGTCAACGGTGATACATGTTCTAGTTCACCAGGCATGCGAGCCACTAGGTGAAACCACAAGGATTTAATGATTAAATAGTTTTGTAGATCGATAAATCACTCCTTTCTTTGCAAATTTTTTTAGACAATGGACACACTTCCGACGGCCCAGATAAATCCAGGGCCTCGCCTACGTTTGGCTTAACTGTCTGGAATGAATCCACAATGTTATCCTCCTGACAAATTTACGGGCCAGTCCCTTGACTAAGAAAATGGACAAAGTCCCGGGGGACCATCAGTCTAGTTTATCATCACCTTATGTTTGCATATTTCTTTCTCTCCATTCGAGTAATCCAGTAATTTAATTATTGTATTTAATTGTACGGTAAAAGAGCGAGGCTTGCGTGAACGAAATACGAGTCAAACGAATTTTCTGTGGTTTGATAGTTGGTTATAAATTTATCAAGAATTGATCAGTGATGGAGATAAAGAACTGTTGCTTATTTGCTGATAAGCAGCAATCCAGGGGATTGAAGTTTGCTAGAGTGATGGTTGTAAAGCAGAAGTCGTTAGTCGTAGGTCGGAAATCCGACATGCTTCACTCTGGCCGACATTAATCAGGCAAATCTGACAGGATTCCTTCATCTGAAGCTGAAGTTCAAGATTAGGAAATAGCACGGAGAATACAGTGGATTGTAGATGCGTTCGGACACCGCTGACGGAGTTGGCGGTAACGATTTGGTGGCTTGCTTACTGCACTGATTTGCCAGGATGATTGCGGATACTTACTGAGCACCTGAAAAGGCTCGGGGTCACGACCTGCCCGTTAGAAGATCCATGATCAACCACATGACAAATGTCAAACATAACAAGATTTTTTCATTCCTAACTTGCGTCACTGTTACCATCATCATCATCATCCTCATCATCCTCATCATCCTCATCATCATCATCATCATCATCAATCATCATCATCAATCATCATCATCATGATCATCATGGTCATCATCATCATCATCATCATCATCATCATCATCAACATCATCATCATCATTCGTAAAGTCCTTCAATCTTCAGTCACTCGTGCATGGTCATGGCTGCTATCCGGCCAATCGATGTGTGGCATTCCAGTCATCACACTATATTTTGATTGGCTAATTTACGGCCATTCATCTATTGGTTGCCAGTGTCCTTAACCGCCATGAACTGGGGCACATCGTGTCAGTCCAGGTCTCTGCATCAAGCACTAGCCGGATTATCACGACCATTCATTTGTGGTTAGTGCCAGCTAACAGTCTAGCATGTATATTGGCACATTGTGGTTTGAATATGCAAACTCTAGCAACTGCTCCTTCACGAGTTACACATCCTCATGTGAAGAAAGTGAGAGACTATACGACCCAGTCCTGCTTGGTCTTTCATTGCTAGCCCTCGTACTCAACGCAACATGTATGTCCATTTTTGCTCAACAGAACAGACAATCAGTGATGCGCATTAGTCTGCTTCTATTGTCAGCAACGGAAGTGGTGTTCCACCTGTTCTTTTGCTTGGACTATGCCATGCGGATAGCCATCTGTTCTATTCCAATTGAAAAACCAACTATTATGATCACAGTCATGTCGGCACTGATCAATTTCGGAGGAGATGCCTTTATCTGCGCCAGAAATTGGTGCAATGTTTTGATAACCGCAGCGAGAACGGAAGTTATTGTCTTTCCATTACGTTCACGACGTTATTTCACAAGGCGATCCACAGTCCTAATATATGTATTTCTGTTAACATTGGCGTGTGTTTTAGCATCTGTTCGAGTTTTTTTCGATCAGGCTTGCATTTGTCATGCGGAAAACAACACGGAGTCCTTGAATCTAGAAATAATACCGCTGATGCCCTCCCACGTGACAAAGCACTATGAGGCCTATGGATATTTTATATATCAGATAATTTTACCGATTTTACTTGTTCTAATCATGTCCACTATCATCTGCACATACGTCTCACCTTGGTGTCAAGCTGAAATATTGGAAGCATCGACGATTCGAAGACGACATCAAATGAACGCGACCCGAACAGTTCTGATCATCGCGCTGACTTTTTTGAGTTTTCAAATGCCAAGCTTTGTATTCGTTATTCTGCACAATTACACTGGAATTATAAGCCAGGAAACGGATTCAGCATTTCGGTTCAAAATTGCACAGGCACTGGCTGACACATTAATCGTCCTAGATTCTGTCATAAACATACTGATTTACAGCTTCAAAATCCCAGGCTTTCGGAATCAACTTTGTTGTTTCCAGCGTGGGCATGCGGCCACCGACGAAACTCGGTTGGACTTCATCACCAAAGACGGAGTAACTCGTCTTACCTACACACCGTCCTTCCGAAGTACTCAAAAGAAGCGAATGTGTTCTGAAATGGATCATCATGAAATAAATGCAAAAGTGCCAACAGAAAACCATAGAAATCATGGAGACATGGTCCAGACCTCGATTTGCTGATGTGCTGTACAAAGCTCACATGATTTTATTTGATCAACAAACGCTACTGAGTTCATTCCCGTGCCTGACCTGTATCAGAATTGAAGAAATACCATTATTTTGTAGTCAGAGCTTTAGTGACATTGCTTTCGTTGCTCGGTGTTCCACCTTGATGGTAAGAATTTACGTGTATCATACCAGGGCACTCCATTTTAACATGCGATTTCCTACGTCCTATTGGATGGATTTGCCAATAGTTTTATCGGAGCTGTTACATCAGAACCATGTTTGGCAGCCTAGTCATTAACGGATGAAGTTTGGACAAATTTCCCAAGGGCGTGATTGGTCTTTTTTATCCATTCGAAGTTCATCTTGTTAAACTATGAGGTGGCTGGAATTAAGGTTTATACCTCAGAGAATCAGGGCTATTAATTAATAATTAATTAATTAATTAAGCAAATGTGTGATAGACAACAGTACACATGACAAGCCACAGAAATTGTGATAATCTTACTCTCCCAACTCAGAGGAATTTTCGCACTGCAAAATTTGCCAAGGTTCTTCAAGTTATCCTGACTATGACAAGCGATTTTACACGATAAACGAAAAACCATCCTCTCCTGGACCTAATTCATTCTCCTTCCTGTGGCAATCCAGGTAGACCAAAAGTTAATAACCGAAGCAGAACTTACTTTAGCAACGGAAGCAGAAGAGTCTCTTGGTTAACAAGTGAAAAGATAATACTGTGCTCAACGAATAACCACTATCGGCTGCATGACCTTACCGGTTAGAGGAAGATTGGGTTCCGTGAGTGGTCTGGTCTTGCCAAGTTCCCCTATGAGTCATTCGAGACCCGTTACCTATTCGCAGCCAGTTGAAGACAAATTTGAACACTCGAGTTATTCTCCGTATGCATCAACTTGTATGATCTTTGGTGGGTGAGACTAGACAATACCAAATATGTATTAGCTAAAAACCTTTGCCCCTCAGTAAGGATTTTCCGCACCAGAACCCTAGTGAATCATGAGATCCATGGGGGCTAGCCTAGCCGGGCAGTTTGATTGCAAACTTCTCATAATCAATCTAGTTACCATCATCAGTGCGTTGTGAGTGGGCGTAGTGAAGCTCAGCGAACAAACAAACAGTCACCTACGCTATCTGAGCTACAGTCATTCACCATGAGTTATGTTCATTCTGCTTAGCCGCAAAGGAGCCATAAAATGCCGCCCTCAGCGACGAAAACAGCCTGAGGGAACCACTACTGGCACATGTACAAAAACTCTCATTTTCCAGTGTCTTCAGCTTTTGAAAGGAGATTCGAATAAGCCCAAGAAGGTCATCCATATTCCCCTTCCACAAAATATGATGGACTAAGCCGCCTCATATTTCACTTGGTACGATATCCAAAGAGTTTTAAGCAATCTCGTAAGTAGTGTGATACATCTAGATAACTGGTACTTAGTATCGTTGGTCACTTGGTCTACTTGCTGAACTTGAAAAGGGTTGAAGAAAATCTCAGTAGACAGCTAATCCAAGCAAAATTCTGGGCCGGACTTCTTTTCAAACTCCGCAGTGAAAACAACCCACCTTTCTAAACGATTCGGCATGGCTTACACGGTGAACGAATTTACACAGTTCCGTAGTTAGTTGCACTATGTTAGTTACGTAACCAGACCTCAGGCAAAAACCGAATTCGCGAGCATGTTTCTTCCGGATGTGGCTTCCGTCCATTCGCTCCTGGCGGAATTACAGGTGCACAGGCATATATTTATGGATATACAGTCACGCGTGATAAATGAAATCTTTTATGTGAACTGTATCGAAAGAATGTGCCTGGAAAACCGCGGTTCACCGCAACATTTGACACTCTGACCTCTCGTTTTATGACGCACTAACACTTAAAAGCATGACATGTGAAAAATCACGTCCGCGCTCAAATGAAAATGTAGAAAAAAACCCGATGATGTTGACATCAGCAACAACACATACTTTTCACTGGCCACACGTGAGTGATAAGCAGTATGATGCACTCATGAAAGCACAATCAGTGCTACTCACAACTACGCACTGATGATGTCACCTCGATTGGTGATGAAACGTTTGCTACCAAATTGCCCAGCTCAGCGAACAAGCCAACGGCCACTTTTCACCATATATGTACACTTTAGTGACGAAGTAAACGTCATAGTGACAGTTCAATGTGTTCTTTATTTCGGGTGAGTTCAACGTGTCCTAAAGTAATGCTTTGTTAACTGCATTGCTGGGGCTTTTGATTGCTGGAGGGTAGTCTATTTGGTTATCACACAAGGTTAGCATTTCACTAGCCGGTCGAATGCATGAATATCGTAGGCCCGAATGACACTTATCAGGAACTTTCGGTGCTGAAAATCAGTTAGCTTGAAAAAGCAGATAAGTGAATATGTTTTTCGAGAAGCACACTTATTTGGAAATGAGTTTGGTTTTCACGATAAGCCCCAAGAAGGGCGAAACCGGTCGAGGGCTGTCTAAGAGTTTTCATCAGCCTTGTGAGTAGTTCCATTTATGAAAATATAGTGCGATATCTCGAATATCGTGTTGACTGAAACATGAGGCGACCTGTGTGCAGCACATTCATTTGTAGAATATCACAAACGAGAGATTCAGTTGAGTCTCTCGTGAAGACCAAATTGATTTGCAAATTAATGTATTTCTCGAAAACAGTCCAATTCGGGTTCAAGTAGAATATAAGGGTGACGGGAACTCGGGGACTGCGTCTACCTGATGGGCCTCAAGAGGGGCGAAACCGGTCGTAGACTGTCGAAGAGCTTTCAGAAACCTGGTGAGTAGTACAATTTATGAATGTATTTTTGGTATTTGGTTGGCGATATATTTTAACCGAGTGTGGAGGTTTCACGCGTATGATCATATTGCTCTTGTGTGTTACCCCCACCCCCTCCAACGTCTTGCAGCAGCGACTCCGGTCGGTCTACACCAAAGCCGAGAGGCACCAAAATTTCAATTTCAGTTTATTGTAGCTTATCAGCCGTGAATATTCCAGGTAATGCTGGAGGTTGGACCGCAGACATCTGGTGAGTGAGACCAGCATGTTAATGCGACTCTGGTAGATGGGCCTGAATTGTCAGGTCTAGACGGTGGGGTTTATTTAACCGCCCGGACGACACATAAACAAGTTATGAAAATTTTTCAGGACTGTCAGGGAAATACAGGAGGAATATCAGCTCTAGCTCTCAATGAAACGGTGCCATTTTTGCCAGCAGAGACTGTTTTCAGTCTTATAATATGTTGAATGTGGAGACCATAATCTAACGACTGGTTGCAAAAACGTCTGTTTAGCAGTTTGTTTGTCCCGTCTGGTCTTGGTGAATTACGGCTGCCAAATTTAGATACAGTAGCGGGCCGCATGTACACATGAGTATGACTTCCCGCAGACAAAAATGTTTTCCCATCCACATCGATTTCTTTTGAACAGTCATCTTTTTGTCCTTGCGCAATCATTCCGGTGAGTCCATATCGAACGGGAAAACCACTGATCTGAAGTTATACAATTTAGGAGCTTGTCTGTGGTGTAAATCCCTGGCCATCATGATTCATTTGAAGCGAGTGTAGGTGTTCACTGGGGCAAACCCATACAACACCTATAAATTACCACATATCTGTGCATGCTGTGCCAGGCTTGCTTTGCCTCAAGGGCTCTGCGCCATTGTCCTAGTTTTCTTGGGTCAAAAAACCAAGCATGTTATCCATGGAATGATTTATCATCAATTTGTCGCTGGATTTGATTGTAACGAGTTAAGCATTGCTCTCACCAATGACAACGATAGTTTACACGGTTTCAATCCACAATCTGAAATAAATTATTCGTTTGTCCATTTCAACGCACAAGTGCCAACTTTGCTTGGGAATATTGGCTTTGTGATCTGCGAGCTTGGCGTATGCTGAGTACAACTCAGGAATCGATAAACTGCTCTCAACAGCTGTTTGTACTCTGTCGACAAGCGATCTGGTTTTTATAAAAGTTTTTTGCACACAAGAATAAGATACAATTCAACTTCCGTTCACGTCGAGCAGAAGGAAGACAGGAACGTTGGTGTTCCGCACTTCTAACCCTGCCATAGCTATTGATCGCTCGTAGAAATCCTGGGCTACGAAAACGATGATCTACCTCAATAAATGTTAAGCTCTTCCTTTCCGCTGTAAGACAGGACTTCATATCCTTCCCTCTGCAATAGACATGTTCAGCATGTACATATCTGTGATTCTAAACCTAAAAAACGAATGCGTACTCTATATCGATCTCGTTCTGTTACGTGATGTAGATGCATTGACAAGAAACAGCATTTTTTGCTCAGGGAATTCAGTGATTCCCATAAATCTCACGTTCGAATTCATTTGGTCACATATTCATTAAGCTTCATGATAAATCAGTTCATCCGATAATGGAATCTATCGATCTTCGATAGCCTTGAAAGCATATTCGTGGGGTACAGGACAAATATCGTAATGTTGATTAAATTGGTATTTCGTGTTCCGGCTTACTTTTTCAGGTTTAAATATTTTTTTCTAATATATTCATGTCTGCTAACCAGCAAAATCACTCCCTGTCTAAATGCAATGACCGTGGTTTGAGATAACTTAAATTCGATTGTTTATAGAATCGCGTGGATGTTGCATGTAACAGATAATGCTACGGACGTGGTAAACCGAAGGCCGAGATTGAAGTCGTTGAAGTCATCAAAATAATCCGGATAGCCATCGTCGCACTCGGCTGACACAAGCCACGACAAAAAACCGGGAGCTCATGAGTTTTATCGGGAATACTGCGTACCAATGCTTAGCTCAGACGGCTGCCGTGATAAAATCAATTCAGTTTAATTTCGGCCCACTTTAAGGCGACCCTTTTAGGCGGGGAGAAGCCAATCATATCCCGAATCACTGTTGCTCATAAAGCTAGACATCCAATTTTTAATTGGCTGTTGCCGCGTTCGATATAAGGACCAGGTGGCTTTCCTCTTGATAGTCATCTGCGGCAGTTGCCAGCTTGAGCTTTCAGCAATACACCGGCGTATACAAAACATCCATAGTCTCAAAAACAATGCCTAAGCCAACAATCAAATCCAACGTAGACAACTGGATACTACTATATCAGTGGAACACTGCTTTGAACGTGGTCGAAGTCAGTAATTCGTGTGACAGAGCTCGGGTATACTGCCGGAAGATCGTTGAAGCAAGCGACGTTACAAAACTAGCCTTGTCAGATGACGGATAGTGAAGTAAAACTCGTTTTTCATTCTTTGCACATTCGAACGTGAGCCTAATAGGATACCGTCAGATTTCGTGAACGAACAGGGGTGGAGTATTTATCAGAGGCGAATCCTACATGGATTTTAATAAACCTATTTGAGAAACGCTGCTGTGCCTGTGTTGATGTCCCAGAACTGAATGTAGCCTGAACAGTTGTCGAACATAACATCTTTCTGGGTAGACACTCCCCTTGTTCGGTCTAGTACGATCTTGTGTTTACTTTGAGAAAAGGGTACTAGGGGTGTGACTCTGGTGTCTACCAGGCTTATATGCTTATAGCCCTCCTATAACACATTGTCAGAAGCGTGGGTATTATGGAAATACATTCGAGTAATGACAGAACACAGGCAATTTATTTGGTCTTATTAATTGCGCTAAATCACAGTCAATGCGAAGACAATTCAGAAACAAAAGAAATTTACTAAACATCTTTATTAAGTAATCTTACAGAATTCTGCTCGAAATAACATCAGTGCACCACTGATAACGAGGCAAATCAGTGAGTGCTCAGCACCAGTAGCTTCATCGTGCTGATGTCCAGAATAACGTATGCCCTTTAAAACTTGTTACTAACGCAGTGAGAGAGATTAAAATCACTAGACATTGAAAGTTGTCATCCTTGGAAATACAAGCTAAGTCCGCGAGGTTTGTCAGGTCATTTGGGGGGATCGATAAGCCCCAGAAACGACAGCAGAACCAATCACGGGCTTTGAACACGGGAGCGAGCGACACATCAGTCAAGTTGTTATTTATATAAGTGATTGATTCAATCGACCCCCGGGTCCTACGCTCACCTGATTATTCTTAAACAGAACTTTGTGCCACTGTCCCATACCAGTTAATTTGTTGGCATGCTCATTGAGTTGAAGTACCTTAACATCAAGTTACCGACTTGTGTAGATCAATGTGGCTAACAGATATTTAACAACAAAAAGGCCAATGAAGACCAAATCCAGGGTTCATTCAGTGCTACGCCCTTCTTCAGCTAAACAATTAAATAAACAAATTACAATAAACAGAGGAAAACGCTCTAATCGTGATTTCTCCCTGGTGTCGCGGTTCACAAAGTATTTTACAATGTGTAGGCTGACATCAGGAGTATTTCTGGGACCCGCGGGTAAACTGTGCTATGGGGGTTTGTCCATTAGTTCTCTGTCTGACTGTCCGGAGAAACCTATCGTGAATGCCCTCAAATCTCTAAAGGCTGTTTGAATTATGTGTCGGTAGAAAGAAAGCTCATTCGCTCCGGGACCTAAACTCGGGCAGAAAGGGGATTAGTCTGCTTAATGAATTAATGCTATTGTCTCAGTTTTATGGGAAAGTTATCCTTGAGCTCATGAATGGGAGGAAAATGGATGTATCGTAAAGCCAGAGGAATGCGTGGTATGTAATTTTGTCTCAATATAGCAAGGACTGTTGTACTAGCCGCCTGTTCAGTAGTATGTTACTAGTATGTTCGAAGTAGCCATAGTAGCATTAAGAAACCGATTTATTCAGTCGTTTATTTGCCCCCTGGCTCTCCTTTTTCAACCTCAAGTGCCTAAACAGCATGCAATGATGCAGAATATATCGGTCCATTGAGTAGATCCATCAATTTTTTGACCTGATTACTGAGCTTGAAATATGGAGTACAAAACTCCTCGTAGCCTAGGCGAAGAGCAGAACGTCAATAGACAGTAGTACAGCCATTGTATCCTTCAGGAAGTCCACCGGAAACGGGAGGAATTCAAAGGGACGAAGAAAATGCCAAATGTGATGAGCTTCGTTGAAGACCGGGAAAAGATAAGTGTGGTCGTACGAGCTGGGTACCTAATAGACGGGGGTTAGCAGGGGCTCTGGTCATCGGAAGGGCTAAATGTAACTCCATAAACGTGAGTGCGACGAAGGTAAACCGGTCAACTGATAGAATCCGCAAATCTATCTTGAAAATGTTTCGAGGACTTGGGCCGTGATTGGGGCGTATAAAGCATAAATCATACGCATACTGGAAATACACTACAAAGGGAAATGACGCAGCATCTGTAGCGCAAGAAGAGCGTTGAATCTAACTTGACCTCATGATAATTCCCCCATTCATTTGCTTACTCCGCCTATGTACATTTGATCCCCAGTTGTTTTGCTTATTCGTACCCGCCCCCCACCTTGCCGCAGAGGCCGTCCTTTCCGACACTTGTGTATTGATGTGTCTGTGTGAATGTGCGCTGCTGACCTACTTACCCATGCGCGTTCATGTCCCGT